GAACTGTTTTAAGAAAATGTTGAAGCACATTTGCATTTTCATTGCTGCATCAAAGCATTTTTATTGTGTAGTAAAATGCGTAGGCGGTATTTACATTTGAAAACAGTTTAAATATGTAGGCATTGTGAAAAGGGCTGAGATATTGCCATCCAGTTTTTCAGTATGAGTTTGCCTAATAAGAACACCGTGTAACAATGCATTTTAATATTGTATAGCAATGTTCTCTGGAGTACATATAATATCATGGTTAGTGCCTTTTATGGGATTAGAAAGCTAATCTGGAGACAGTTTCCAGTATCTGTTTTCTCTCACTTGAGCCGTATTGTATAGAAGTTGGCCTCTTTCAAAGGCTATTGCAGTGCTTCTCAAACCACAGAGTTCTCCAAAGTTCGGCAGGTGATAAGCAGACCAGAAAGACTCAGAGAATCAGCTTGCCCACCATCTTATTTCACACAGTGCAGTTACCGGGTTGGGTACAGAACTTGTTCTAAGACTTTCAGGACCGTGCCATGGGCAGCAGTTGGAGGGTTGCCATGAATCAGAAGCCATGGGATGTGCCAGTGGTCAAGACAAGTCAGAACCAACAGCAAGCAGGGGAATATAATATCCAAGGACACTGGGACAAATTAGAACTCAGGAAGCCCATGTTGCTCAAGCAAGCGTCATCTGGAACATTAAGCCCTCCTATAGTCCTTCTGGTCCAGGAGGAGCCAACAGCCAACCTTGGTGAGCAGAGTCAGTCCAAGTTGTGAAGGTACTTCACTGAGAAGGCCGCCACTTGCAATTCAGTTGTTCACCATTTGAGGCAGCTGCACACAGATCTACAAGTGCTATGGGGCAAGTAGCAAGTTTCAAATGGCCTGGCCTCTCATGGATTGAAAGCCTCCTCTGTCTCCTTAGAAGGTGGTGGACTCTCCTTCATTGGATGTTTTTAAGCAGAGGTTAGATGGCCACCTGTCAAGGATGCTTTTGTTGAGATTCCTGCATTGCTGGGGGTTGGACTAGATGTACCTCAGGATACCTTCCAACTCTACAATTCTACGATTCTATAACTCTATCAGCAAGGTTTTTCTATAATAAAGGTAAAGGTACCCCCTGACCCTTAGGTCCAATCGCAGATGACTCTGGGGTTGCGGCGCTCATCTCGCTTTATTGGCCAAGGGAGCCGGCGTACAGCTTCTGGGTCATGTGGCCAGCATGACTAACCTGCTTCTGGCGAACCAGAGCAGCGCACGGAAACACTGTTTACTTTCCCGTTGGAGCGGTACCTATTTATCTACTTGCACTTTGACGTGCTTTCGAACTGCTATGTGGGCAGGAGCTGGGACCGAACAACGGGAGCTCACCTCGTTGTGGGGATTCAACCCACCAACCTTCTGATTGGCAAGCCCTAGGCTCTGTGGTTTAGACCACAGCACCACCCGCGTCCATTTTTCTATAATAGGGTTACTCAACAGGCTCCTGAGTTCTGTAAAAGACATTTAAATGCAGGAGGGGTTCCCTAGGAAGTTTGAAGACCATTGTGTTTGTCAACAAAGATCCCCAGGTTTTCTGCTGGTGTGGGACCTACTTCTGTGAGAGTGATCCAGTGCTGCAGGAGTGAGCAATACAGTCAAGTGGATGGAAGCTAATTGTATGAGTCTTTTCCATACATCTGCCATCCTGATATAATGTGGGGAAGGGCCACAAAATCCAATTCTACCCGTGATTTAGTAGTACCTCTTCAGTGTGGGATTTTGGTCATGTCCCATCCATGTGATCCAGCTATCTTACATAATAATCAGATTTAGATGCTGACGGTGTCTCTATGGCAGAGGATCCAGGCATAGAGAAGCAGAAAAATATATCAGAAGTAATGCAAAAGTCAACTTCCAGTGATGAGGAAATGTTAGTACTTCTCTAAGTTTAGCAAAGCAAACAGAAAAAGTGGGGGTCAAAGTTGGGGGGGGGACAGGTTGCAGCCTTATTCCAAGTCTGAACACAGGCAGACCAAGAGGGACAGCATCCATTTCTAATTTTCTATGGGTCTAAAATGTTTTATTAATACTTTATTACCTCATTGTTATTGCTTTAATTTTATTTATTGCTTTAATAACATACAATTTCCAGTCAGAGCAAGTAAACAGTTTTAGCCTTCACCTTGTGCACGTGGAAATGACTTTCAGCAGACAAGTGTATCTCCTTGAGACAAGAATATTCTTGTTACTGCAAAGTGCCCATTGATCAGCTTCTATTGGCCACAGCCAACAGGTTCTACTACCTGCAAGAGAGAAGTAAATTAATCTGTTTTACGTGACAGAATCTCAAAGCCACGATAACAGTATAATTATTGAAAAATGACATTCTGATTATGTCTATTTCATGTCTGTTTTTTGTTTAATTCTTTCATTATGGAAGATATAGGCCTTTTGAATGAGTTTGTGAGATGGGGGATATTGGTGGTGGTGGTTGTGACAGGTATTTTGTATTTCCATTTTGTATTGTTATGCTGTAACAACAACAACAACATCACCAAAGAAAAGGTTGCTTAATTGAATGGCCTGGTGATATAATTCACAGCACTTAATGAAAGTTTCATTCAGAGTAGAAAATTAGCATCAAGCAGCTTCCGTGCTTAATGCTGTTTCATGCATACAAGAAGAATCCACTCTATATACCAGGTCAAACTACCGGTATTCGTCCATTTAGACCATTTTCGTGTGCACCATTGTGGGGATGCAATAGAAAAATAGCACCCTTGTGCAAGATTGTGCAAGAGGAAACATCTGTTGACTCTGCTGACTTGTTCCCCCCACACGCCTGGGTCACTGTCGCGCTGCCTAACCGCAAAGCTTACGCGGCTGTCATGCTGTCTGGAGTTATGTCCTGGTAGAGAATAGTTATTCTAAGAAATGCAAACCCTAGCTGTTTTCCACCCGAGTGCTACACGTGTATATGCAACATGATGTAATGTGCGCAAGGCTAATAAACATGCAAGGCTGCTGGGAGAGAGAGCTCACTCCTTGCTTAAACCTTCACCCATGACTCTTCGTCATTTTCCTCCGCACCTGGTGGGCTGGTTCCCCGACACACCATGATTGGGAGTGGCTCTCTGAGAGCTTTTGTTCCATCTGCATCATATTCCCCCCTCCTACACTAGAGATCCCAAAGGTTAAAACTGGGACTGTCTGCATTCAAAACTGGCGTCTACTGCTGAGCTACAGTTCTTTCTGAAGTGCCATGCCTGTGGATGAGACATCTGCTGAGAGACAGCTAGCTTTGCTTACCTGGCCTGCTGAATGCTGACTGCTCAGGCACAGAATCTCACTTAAGTATTACTGTGGGGAATGGCATTCAATTCATAATGTCTAATGAACCAGGTAACGAATGGGTTTCAGTGACATCACTAATCAGAATGAATAGGAGCTGCACAATTGTGCTAACATGTTCTTGAACAGCTGCCATTCATTTTAAACTAATTGTATAGTTGTAATAAAGAGCCCTGTGGCACCTTAAAGACTAAGAAATGTATAGTTGAATCAGCTCTGAGGAGGAGTGGATGCTTTGTAGCACCTCTCATTTCACACTAGTGGGTGAATGATCATTTTTTTATTAATATGGATGATTTCTAGATATCTCCTTCTTTATTATGTTAAGCATTACTCCTGCTGTCTCTTATAAAAAGAAGAAACTACACAGTTCAATCATCTCTGTTGCAAAACTGTCCAGTAAAAAAGTTCCAATCATTTCTGCCTTTAAAATGTCACATTTGCTTTTCCGTAGCTGATTTGGGCAAGCAAACAGCAGAACATCATCTGCACAGTCTCCAGTAGTGAACATGGGGTGGATTTATTTGAAATTGCACACTCTTGTTTCAAAGTCTTGGTGGCACATGGTCCTACTCAAAATGCCATATCTGTCTTGACTGAGCTGATCTATCACCAAAATTGCAGCACTTAAGGGCAAAAGCACCTACATTGTCCTTGTCCCTTCTGACTCTTTACTACTTATTAGCTTATATGGTTCATTCATTGAAGCAATTTGCTCTCTGCTTTGATCTCATTTACTCCCCTGTGTATAGTGCCTCTCCCATTCCCCCACTTTCTTGGTTTATTTCACTTTCATGTGTTTTTATTCATAAATCTATTCTGTCATGTTTTGGCATTAATCGGTGAGGGATGATGATGATGATGATGATGATGAGTATTTAAAAAGCTAATCAATTACCCACATATAAAGAAGGATTTAAATACATTTTTTTTCAGATAAAAACATTTAGAAATGTGTCTTTTAGATGAAAATTTAGTGTGTGTGTTTGTGTGTGCGTGCATGTGTGTGCATATATATATATATAACACACATACACACACAATGTATGAACTTTGGGGTGTAAAATCCAGTAGATAATGAAGATCAAGACCGCAAATTAGTCCAAGGGGTGCAGATCATGTTAGTTTCCATTGGACTAACAAAGACCAATTTGTCAAGCATCCCTTCTCCAGCTTTGCCTCCAGGTTGCTTTTTAGAGAGGTCCAGTTTGACCCTCAATGGCAATCAAAATGGTTTTCCTATATCTACCCGAAGTATTTAATTTACTTTGCTGGTGTGTGAATGAATTTGCCTCCTTCACCATTAACACACAAGGGTGCTTGCACCACTGTGAATGTATATGTACTGGGCTCAGCCTCCTGCCAGAAAATCACTAACATGGATTGCGTAGGAAGGTCCTACAGCAGAGTCTCTCCTCTGGGTCAGGATAGAGTCCATTCAGGATTGAAGCGCAACATCTTGAATAGTGGCTCTGATAGCTGCTGATGTATCTTTAGTACGTCTTGGCATAAGCATGACTCCTTGTAGCTCCACCTTGACATTCAAAACCTTAAGCCTGATGCAGTAAGTGAACACCTAAATCTATGCAGTGGCTTAGGTTGCTAGGCCAACTACAATACATGTTACTTCTATTAACACTGTCAATGATAGCTTGTATTTGTTTTCTCAAAGAACATATTGCAATCCTCTGATCACTTCACTGTTGCAATTTCTTCCATATGCTCTGCTTGTGCCACGTCTCTTGATACCTTTGGCTGATCTGTTCTCATATCAAAGTTAGGATTTGCAGGCACACATTTCCTGGTCCCCCTGGCTGCCGTTGATTGACCTGCTCCGTTGATAATAGTCAGCTTGGGCAACACTGGGCAATATGGAGACCTTTGAATTTGAATTCCAAGCTCCACAAGCAGCTTTTGATGCAGTAAAATGTAATTATTAACTAAAATTAAACAATGTCATCACTGATGAGGTACCTTGTTCAAGCAGACTGAGCTGTTTTAAAGCCTTTGAATGAAAACAGACTAGAGACTTGCTAGTTTAAAGCCAAAACAGAAGCTCGTTCTTTCCAAATGAATTTTCAAATAGAACAAAACAAGTTTTTGTTTGGACTAAAGCTGTAGCCCTTACTAGGGAGCATGTCCCACTGATTTCAGTACAGCTTATTTCTGAATAAACATACAGTGGTTGGATTCCAGTATGGCTTATTTCTGAATAAACATGCATAGGTTGTATTAGGTTTTAAATTGTAAAGTAGATTATGCTTCATTTTCCTTATCTTCCTTTTCCCACCTCTGGAGAATATGATAAACATACGTGATTTTTGAGCAGAGATCCAAAAATAAAGATATTTTCAGTATCCATTCCACGTTGTCAAAACAATTAGCATTCTCTCTCTCTGTCTCTCTCTCTCTCTCCACCCCGATATAAATGTTTATCTGCAGTGCAGGCCTATGCATGCTGATGGAGAATTAAGCCCTAATGAATTCTATGAGATTTGCTCCCAGAGAAGAGTGCTTAGGATTGCAGTTTAAATTGGTCAAATACTAAAGCTAAAAAACCCCATTGAGCTATATTGAAGCTGTCTGTTCTGAGTCTTCTCCCAGTATCTCAAGACTTTATTTGAAGGACTGCCTTCATCATATCAACTTATCCACACCTTCTGCTGATTCTCAGAGGCTCTACTTGTGGAATTAACTAGATTGGTAGTACATGGGATAGGACCTCCTTAGAGGTGGCTCCATGCTTGTGGAAACAAGGCCTTCGAATGGCTCCCATGGCCCATTTACTTAGAATTTATTTCTCATTAATAATGATTTTATTGTGCTGCTGTATGACATGGTGTTGCAATAGGTTTAGATATATTTTTTTTTGCTTTATTGTGTGATAGTTGGCTGTGTCCCAGAGTTCAAGAGATCCAAGGGTTGCGGTAGCTCCCAAAGCCTCTGCTGTTGCCCTTAGTGACACAACTGGTTCTTGGTATTTTATGGTGTTTTATAGTCCAACTGATTATAAAATATGAATATATTGGAAGTCAGCTTGAGAGCATTTTACCCTAAAAGGCAGCCTATAAATATTTTAATTTAGTTTCAATTAATTAAGCAATTTAGAAACTAAACTATTTGCTGGGGGACTTCAGAGATCATAAGGAGCTTGTTATGGACTAGCAAAATATGAAAGGATGTACTGATTGGAAGGTCAGTGGTTCGAATCCGCATAATGGAGTGAGTTCCTGTTGTTCTGTCCCAGCTACTGCCAACCTAGCAGTTCGAAAGCACACCAGTGCAAGTAGATAAGTAGATTAATAGATACCACTGCGGTGGGAAGGTAAGCAGCATTTCCGAGCGCTTTGGTTTCCGTCACGGTATTCTCTTGCGCCAGAAGTGGTTCAGCCATGCTGGCCACATGACCCAGAAAGCTGCCTGTAGACAAACGCCGGCTCTCTCAGCCTGAAGTGAGTTGACTGGACTTAGCCATCCAGGGGTCCTTTACCTTTTATAGTTACTAGTAGCAGGAGATTTGGAGTGAAGTGTCACCAATATGTAGATGGCAGCCATTATTTTGTAACATCTGGAGCCACATATGTCCTGAAACAGGGCCTGGTTGCAGTACATTTATATTCTGCTGTATTTTGATTTTATAATGATTTTATAATTTCTGTAAACTGCTTAGGGGTTTTTTTTTTGTCAAAAATCCCTACATGGTATACAGATTTTCTAAATGAATAAATAAATACAGGTTGGCTGGTGGGTCACTGACAACCATCAGGAGCATAGTTGACTTCAGCTAGTGAGTAGTGGAGTGTGGGAAGAGCCTTTGTAATGCTCCGACTGAAGACCATTCAACCAGCATTCATAGGTGGGGCAAGAACTCTTGTGCTTCCCATTCTAGAGAGTGCTGTGAAACATTAACATATTATGTAAAAATGCAGGGACTAATGATTATTCGGTTCTATTTAGATTCTGTTTCTCAAAGTGCTCCATTGAGTTGAAACATGGACGTCTAATTTTAACAATATTAAAAAGCAATGCTGGGAATCACAATTAGTTTAAGGATAACTCATACACTGAAAAATTGGGGAACGGAAATTCTTTGCTACTTATACAGCTCTCCTAGAAACTTGGATACTTACATTCACTCGGTTCTGTAGACAGACGGCTTCATTATTCTTGACTGTACATCCAATATATCTTTCATGGGCATGGGTTAAATTATTAAATAAAAATAAAATGCACATATGAGTCTGATCATATGAGTAGATGGCTTCAGATTTTCTTTTAATGAGCAGAATTTGCCTTTGTCATTCAACACTTTGTGTAAATACAGAAAATCAAATATTTTAAAAAGTATATATGAAGCTTGAAAAGGAACATTCCACATCAGCAGCTAGAGAAGCATTTTTGTAAGAAGGGAGTCTGATTTGTGCTTCTGGAATGAATTAGTAATGACCCCCCTTTCCCTGTTGGGTGATTACAAAACAAAAATGAAGAATTAAGATATGAAAGTTATGAAGATATGAAGAATTAAGTTATAAAAAGAAGGGATGGCTGCATCACAATTCACTACTGTTAGGTGCCAGATCTAGCAACTTCCTTGTCTTTGTATAGTAGCATAATCATACGATGCAAAAGTTGCAAGATCTGATCCAATGAACCACTGCCTGGGGAAACAAGAGCTCAGGTATCAGTATAATGTTCACTGCACCATTCAAATATTATGACTTTGGGTGACAGATTGCATCATCATCCAGAAAAATGTACTGGTGGATCTGGGCATTTATGCCAACACAGCTATAAACTGAAATTTGGCAGTGTCTTGCAAACAACAACAACTTATTTATACCCTGCCCATCTGGCTGGGTTTCCCCTGCCACTCTGGGCAGCTCCCAACAAAAGATTAAAAATACAGTGGTGCCTCGCAAGACGAAATTAATTCGTTCCGCAAGTTTTTTCTTCTTGCGAGTTTTTCGTCTTGCGATGCACGGTTTCCCATAGGAATGCATTGAAAATCAATTAATGCGTTCCTAGGGAAACCGACTTCAGACCAGGTCCGGGGACAGTCTGTCCCCCGACCTCTTCTGAAGGCTGGGGGGGGGGACAAGGGCTTTTCTTCCCACCCACCCCAGCATTTTAAAACCCCGGGACAGCGGAGGGCTTCTCCGCTGTCCGGGGCGATCTTAAAATGCTGGCGGGCGGCATTTTAAAATTGCCCCGGGACAGCGGAGGACTTCTCCGCTGTCCGGGGCAATTTAAAGCCCCTGGGAAGGCAGGCAGGGGGACAAAGACTTTGCCCCCGCCAGCCTTCAGAAGAGGTCCTGGACCTCTTCTGAAGGTTGGCGGGGGCGAAAGTCTTGTCCCCCCACCTGCCTTCAAAAGCTGTCCAGCCAAGGCTTCGCGGACCTCTCCGCAAGCAGCGGCAGCACTGCCGCTGCTTGCGGAGAGTTGCCGGCATGCCGAAGCCTGCGCGCGCTGAGATCAGCGCGCCCAGGCTCCGCGGACCTCTCCGCGAGCAGCGGCAGCGCTGCCGCTGCTTGCGGAGAGTTGCCGGCATGCCGAAGCCTGGGCGCGCTGATATCATCGCCCCCAGGCGTCGCGGACCTCTCCGCGAGCTTCGGCAGCTCTGCGGCTGCTTGGGGAGAGTTGCCGGCATGCCGAAGCCGGCGCGCTCTGACTTCTGCGCGCCCAGGCTTCGCGGACCTCTCCGCGAGCAGCGGCAGCGCTGCCGCTGCTTGCGGAGAGTTGCCGGCATGCCGAGCCTGCGCGCGCTGAGATCAGCGCGCCCAGGCTTCGCGGACCTCTCCGCGAGCAGCGGCAGCGCTGCCGCTGCTTGCGGAGAGTTGCCGGCATGCCGAAGCCTGCGCGCGCTGAGATCAGCGCGCCCAGGCTTCGCGGACCTCTCCTGCCTTCAAAAGCCGTCCGGGATAGCGGGAAGCGCTTCCCTGCTATCCCGGACTGCTTTTAAAATGCTGGCGGTGGGGAGCAAAGCCTTTCGGCCCCCGCCAGCCTTCCTGGACCTCTTCTGAAGGCCGGAGGGGGGGGGAAGGCTTTGCTCCCCACCGCTAGCATTTAAAAGAGGTCCCCGGAGATTTCCCTATGGGCTTTCGTCTTGCGAAGCAAGCCCATAGGGAAATTCGTTTTGCGAAGCGCCTCCAAAACGGAAAACCCTTTCGTCTAGCGGGTTTTCCGTCTTGCGAGGCGTTCGTCTTGCGGGGCACCACTGTACATTAAAACATCAGTCATTAAAAAGTTCCCTAAACAGGGCTGCCCTCAGATGTCTTCTAAAAGTCAGGTAGTTGTTTATTTCCTTGTTGGAATGCATATTATGGTATGCCAGTGTGGTGCAATGGTTTCAGTGTTGGATTAGGGCTGACAAAATCCAGGTGCAAATCCCTGCTCAGCCATGAAGTTCATGTCAGCTTCGCCTTTGAGCCAGTGCCAACGACTGGGCTCAACCTCTTCAGTCCCAAGTGAGCCAGGCGAGCTGGGAAAGCACTTCCAGAGACCTTCCAGTGCAGGAAGCAGGTCTAAGTGCAATGGACTCACAACTTTGAGCTGTGAGCACCAAACTCAGTTCCAAAGTCAGCGGAGCACAGCAGAGTATGAACTACAACAGGGGTCTGCAACCTTTAAGACAAAAAGAGCCACTTGGACCCATTTCCAAAGGAAAAAAACCTGGGAGCCGCAAAACCATTGCGACATTTAAAGCATGCACGCCGCTGCCCTCCGATCTGACAGCGGGCGGGAAGGTGACGTTGGGACGGTGCATGACTAACGCACGCACCGCCCCCATGTGACGTCACAGCCAGTACAGCACTTGCCACAGTGGGGAGTGTCGGGGCGCACAATGCGCCTCCTCCCCTCTAGTATCCGCCCTGGAGCCGCAGCAAAGGTGTAAAAGAGCCACATGCGGCTCCGGAGCCGTGGGTTGCAGACCCCTGAACTACACGAACGACGGCTCTGAAGCATAACTTCTTGATTCTTTTACAGCTACTCCAAACTAGAAATAAACTAAAGACTAACGACTATCGGAGGCTACTGGACTGCATGAGTGTTACAGTTGCTTAAGCAGTCATCTTATCTCTACGCAGATAACACTCAGACTCCACAGAGTCAGGCTGGAGCGGAAGAAGCGATGGGCAGATTTTGCCCCCTCCTTTCTGAAAACATTGTCAGTAGATTCTTGCAATGGGAAGGGTGAAATATTCACAGTTCACTGTGTTGATTATCTGCTGCTGACTGTTTTACACTTACACACTCTCTGTCTCTCTCACACACATGGACAGCAGCAGTGCTACTGCAATCTTTTATTACTTTCCTCAAGATTCAAACTAGAAGGACTTGCATGGAAGCAGAGTCAGTTGCAATTAAACCAAATAAACACATTTATATTATCTATCAATATAGCATCTTGAGACACAGTCTAATATAGAAGTACACAGTGGAAATAGCATCATGAAAATAACAAAATAAACAGAGTATTATTAAATTTTCTAGGTCCCAGTACTGAATTACACCTCCACTCCAATATCCGGAGTGTATGTTTCCAACATTTATTGTCCAGACAAATTCTCTATCCATGTTTCCTTCTCTGGGGAAAGCAGAAAAACACAATTTTCTGCTGCTCCTCAAAGCAGTGGCAATAATAGGAATACATGCAAAAGGGAAAGGATAATCCTGTATATATTTTTTAAAAAACATGCGAACACTTGACATAATGTGTTTCCTCAATACACTATAATTTTTACCATGACCTTTATAATGTAGTATCCAAGCCAAGTTCTTCTGGTTTTAAGATCTGGTCGATGATCTCCAATGGACTAGGGTCAGAGGTGAAAGCTGTTTCTGGGTCTGCTGGATCTCTCAATGGCTTTTGATACTATTGACCATAGCATCCCTCTGGACCATCTAGGAGGCTTGGGAGTTGGGGTCACTGTTATGCAGTGGTTCTGCTTTTCCCTCCTGGACTGTGTCCATAAAGTGGTTTTGGGGATGAGTGTTCAGACCCCTGGCACTCACTCAGGTGCCCCAGAGCCAAACACTGGCTCCATCGGCCTGAGGCAAGCTGAGCACCGCACCACATATTCACCATCCAGGGTTAATGTAACCATTCACCTTTTACATTAAACATTAAATACTTGCCTAAGCAACTAAGTTTATTGACAGCTCCCTAAAACAGGCTCCCTAAAACAAGATCTCAAGTGGTAACAGGGATCAGAGATGGGATGCAGGGTTCAGAGATTGCCATCGCAGGCTCACTATACCTGGAGTGTGGTGAGAGATGAACTATAGAAATAAGCACATTGTCTTGGGTTGAAATAGGCCACAACTTTTCTTGATTACAGTTGTAAGTAGGTTTTGGCATGGATCAAGTCTCAAGCAGCCTGTCTGCTAATTGATGAATAGGGTGTGGTCAACCCAGAGCTGGGGGGGGGGAGGGTTCGCCCCTGACATGGACCAGTTGCTACAATCTTGCTTGGGCCACTATTGAGAGGAATGCTATGGCCCATCAGTCCCCGTGTGAACTGCTGGATAGATAGACCCCTCTTGGACCCCTTTAGCTGGGTACCCAATCACCCACAGGCTGGCCAGTTCATCTGCAGGAAAAATTCCTCCCTGGCCCTGAATATGGTCACCAGATAAACCATAGCAAGGGGGTTTGGAGATTGCCCATGGCAAAAGGGTCAAGTAATGGGCAGCCAAAAACTTGGTCTTATTAAAAGCCTTGAGCTCACTGGAAAAGCTGGGCTCCTCTACAGGGAAAAAGATGGAGCAGTTCCTTACCACTTTGCTTTGTTTCTGGGTTTTTGAAATGTTTTCACTTTTGTGACCTACGGCTGGACCAGGATGCACATGGTGCTGCATCACTTCTGGGTTGGGTGGTGGAGAGCTCACCAGGCTTTGTGTATATAAATTACACCACAAAAGGCAGGAGCAGATGGAACAGGCTGTCACTCCTCTTCACACCCACTGCTATTTCATTTTATGTATATCTGAGATTGACTGTGCTTTTGAATGACTAGCACTGGGCTCATCATATCCAGTGCTCCGAAAGGCTGTAAGAAACATCTCCATTAAGTGTAGAGTGAAGGGAAATAGCCAGATTAACTGAAACATTAAAAAGCAATTTAAGGCAAATATGACCCCAAGGCTGACACTGCTTGCAAGTTCTTATAATATATCTGATATGAACTAAACATTATTATTCACCATGGTAAGGGGAAATCTAGGTGATGCATGTTCCAATATTTTAGCAGATTTTGGGGAAGGGGGAGGTGATTAATGCTGCAATCCTAAGCATATACCGTATATTTGGAATTAATTCACAATGAAACCAGAATAATTTACTTCTGAGAAGTTAGGATTGGACTGACAGAGTTGTATTTGTCAAAAATTCATGTGAATATTTAAAGTTGCAATACAGCATCAGGCCACCAAGATATCTAGCCTGGGACCATCTACTCTGACTAACAGGGACTCTCCAAGGTCACAGGCAGAGGTTTCCAGCGCAGCTGCCTGAGATTATTTTAATGCAAGATATGGGGGGCTGGTTGTGCTGCCAAAACATTGTTAAGGATATACATTGAATGTGCACACAATGTTGTGTTTGTGTGCTTTGTATTTGAAATACCATGCAGAGGTTTGCACTAGGCGAGAGATTTGTCTGTAGCTGATGCAGCAGGAGAGGTTGCAGGTTTTGTTTTCAACATTCAGGTTATTGATGACTTATCCCCAGAAACTCAAGCAGAAGCCAAGTGTAAGGTTACCAGATTTTTTTTCAATGAATCTGGGGACACTTCATTGAAATGAATTGGAATGTTAGGATTTTGTCAGCGGACTGATTTGTAAATCTGGGGACTGTCCCTGGGAAATGGGGACGTCTGGTAACCTTATCTTAGTGGGAGATGAAGGTTGTCAATGCCAGTTAGAGCGAGTCCTGAGTCAGCTTAGCATGTTGCTTGTATGGATCTCTCTCTGGGACGAAAGAGAGGACAGTTCTTGGAATGTATGAAGGACATAAAGAAGATTGGACCACATTACTAGTGAAACAAAGCAATGTATTAATTTGAATTTTGCAACATTTACTATGTAACTAGTTTGCAGTAAAACTAAACTGTTTCTTGTGTCGAGCTTATTCATTTCCATTCTGCACAAGGTCCAGATCAGGGATTATGTTTGCAAGAACTCTAACAAGCATGTGTTCTGCCACTAAACTATTAACCCTCCCTATAATCCATATAATCCCCGCGACGGGGTGAGCTCCTGTTGCTCGGTCCCTGCTCCTGCCAACCTAGGAGTTCAAAAGCACGTCAAAGTGCAAGTAGATAAATAGGTACCGCTCTGGTGGGAAGGTAAGCAGCGTTTCTGTGCACTGCTCTGGTTCGCCAGAAGCGGCTTAGTCATGCTGGCCACATGACCCGGAAAAACTGTCTGTGGACAAACGTCAGCTCCCTCAGCCAGTAAAGCGATATGAGCACCGCAACCCCAGAGTCGTTCGCGACTTTACTTAACTGTCAGGGGTCCTTCACCTTTACTTTTTTATAATCTAAGCAGGGCTAGACCAAGACATTTAGCTGCTTGATGTGGAGGACAAGATGGTGCCTTCCTCATCAAGCAGCTAATGTGGAGGACAAGATGGTGCCTTCCCTGGATGTGAGGGCGATCTGGCTGCGACATCTGTCACCCCATTGATCACCAGGGTTGATTCGGCTGATCTGGCTGGCTAGGCGGGTGTCCCCTTCGTCCCTCACCGCTCCATGTGCGTCCCTCCCGAAGCTGCGTGCTCGGTGGAAGAGGACGACCATCCCAGATAGAAGGAGTGTACCGTTCTTCGGTCAAGGGTATACGATAGCTGCGCTCCCCTGCTAGAACCTCCAAACAAGCTCAAGATGGTGCCTTCCTTCCTCATGTACAAAAAAACCAACCTGATTGGCAGTTGACTCTTATTTCACAGTTGCAGTTACTGTGCCCAGTCCTACTGATGTAGCAACTAACAGGCATGGGTGAATTCTCGCAGGAAAATTCTTCTAGCAAAACAATAAGGTTCAGATCTTTCATAAAACAATGCAGGACTCAGACTTTACTCTCCATCTGGATTAGGTCATAAACAACCAAGGGAAGTGTGAGTGCATAGAGGATAAGTTCCAAGCAAGCCCAATTTTTAACATTGCACAGCATCATATTCCGTGTGTACTGCCACTGGTGCACATACATTGATGGAGGGCAAAACCCATGCTGTTTTGCATTATAACATAGTATCCCCCATATCTGTATGCATGTACCAAAACAAACCATTCTCAGCCTGTTAGCTGCAGGAAAGTAGTTTCTAACACAGCCCCCTAGCTGCAAGTGAACTATAGAAGCCATCCTGGATTCTATTATTATTATTATTAAAGAGATTTGGCAAAGTGGAATTAGTTTGTTCTTCTGTCTACCGAAACTCAGCAGAGCAGAATCGGCCAGTTCCACCCACCCTGGTTTAAAAACATCCAAATCTGCTCTTAGGAACACCTCCCATATTCTATTTTCTCCTGATACCATTTCATGTACACATGGGGTGAGGTTTGCAGCTGTCATTCCCAAACAAGCCCTATTAAATTAAATACAGGATGCATGGGAACTGTGTGCTTCATTGTGCTAATTAAACACAAGCCTCTGTGTGCTCCTTAAAACAACAAGAAGTTTCTTTTCTTTGGGTGCCTCCCTGCTGAGTTATCTTGATTTAGAAAACGTGGGTCACATTTCTAATTCCCTAGAACACAACACACTTTAAATCTTAATCACTATGTTCCACCTACTCCTGCTCCTTTATAAATGGTGATGCAACCACACACACACACACACACACACACACACACCATCCGCCATCCCACTTATTTACATTCCTCTCTGCTGAAATCTCCTACTAGCTAAGTGAAGATGTGGGATGAATAGAGCTGAGGATTTTCAGACCAAGAAACTACCCTGTTGCAGCTGCTGATGTTTTCACAACTATACATGCTTGTTTGAAGAAAAGAAGTTCTGTATCTGGAAAGGCACAAGGAAATTATGAGTTGGAAAAGGGAAATGGTTGCCGGTGGCCTCTTTCAAAGCAAATTATGCCCCTTGTCACGATTACTGCCACAATCTTGAAGTCCCTCATTTACTCCTAACCTTCTTGATACCATTTTTCATGGCAAAAAGTATGTTTTTTGTGTGAAAAAAAGTTGAGCTAGCTTCTGGCTGGGCTGTGGGAAATCTGCGGAATGAGCACGAGAACTGAAACATAGAGTGACACTCCTAGTGTCAGCACTATATATTTTTGGGGAGGGGAGAGGCTATGGCAAGGTGCCCTCAATGAGTCACCCCTCCTGTGTTTCCCCTTTCTCCTCACCAAGGCACCACAGTCCATTACACTAGTAGTGCTACAAGTGTTCATTAACGTTGACAAATAACTGGAACTTATAAACTATAGTAAAAAAAAACCACACACACACACACACACAGAGAATTAATATTGTTGATGTACTTATGTCTGGAAATGAGAATTAGTAAAACTGCGATTGACTCTGAAAGTTTCTTAGAACAAAGAAGGGATTTGTGGCTCTGCTAGCAAGCGAAAAGCAAATGGCTTAGGCAGCACTTCCATGCATGAATACCTGGGAGTAAGTGCCACTGATTATCATAGGGCGGTCTTGTGGGTAAACATGGGTGGGATTCCACTGTATTACACTTTGGCTTGGGGGAATATGGGAACTGAAGTTGGCTAAATCAAGTCTGATTGGTGTGGTTTTTTTCCATTTCAAAAAATGTTGGTGCCAACGCCAATGGAGTATCTGCTATTAGTAACTTATTCTAGAGAGAAGACACTCCAAACTTATTTCTGGGTCAAGTGGCCTCTATGGGTTGATTCCCAAAGCTGGTCAGTTTGTTTTTAAAGTGACATTTGTGAAGTTGGATGCAACATCTTCAGCATGGTAAAATTAAAAAGAAAACCCACAAGACACATGTTGTAGCCAAACACAGCTGGAATGCTTTGCCTGGTGGCAAGGGGGACACAGAGGATGAACAGAAGTGGCAGTTGGCTTACAGCAATAAAGTAATTTGTACATCCATTCCATTGGGAACTGGGAGAGGAATTACATTTTCTAGCAGAGTCTACCCACATTTTTTCCCTTCTCCCAAGGTGGGAGTCTTACTAATTCTTACTCTTGTACTTTGTGATTTTCAGATGTGAAACAGTATTTCACTTCAAGGGATTTTTGTGAACATAAGTAAAATGTAGCAAAAAAAATAAAAATAAGAAAGGAAGATCAGAATAGCTTTAGTTAGTCAGAGTGCCAGGTTGGCATTGCAAACTTACCAAGCAAATTTCTGATTATTGTATTTCTTTCAGACTACCCAAATACTTCTTCATAGTTAAATCAAGCTTCATAGTTCTGACATAAGTTTAAAGAAGTATAGTTTCACATCATGAAGATCTGTGTTGCTAGGGGAAAAATATAAAAGGAAGACAATAAGATCTGTCTTTGAGAATAAATGGGGCAGAGAATCCTTGAAATAAAATAATGCCACTTTAATTTTTTAAAAATATATAAAAATACAAATAATCTGGTAAAACTTGGTGTTAAAACAGGAAATGAAAAATTTAGTGAACACTTTCTAACACCTTTTAAATTATTTTAAGATTTTATTAATAAACATAATAAACCAAAGATAAAGAACGTAAAGAACTGCTGTTACAGCAGGTTGAAAGGAACATAAAGTTGGGCATTATAATTGAATTTGTTCCAAAACATTACAAAAAATTACAAATCTTTCCATAAACCAATAATATTAGGCTGGTTTATATGTATTCTTTTGTAATTAGGTAGCTTAATCATAGTTACTATGGACAAAAAATTATCAATCTATTCAGTAGGAGATATACTCCCAACCCCCACATTTTTAGCTATTATAATCTTAGCAGCATTTATAAGGTGGAACATGATTAAAGAAATTTAATCCATTTAGAAATTTAATTCATTGAAATCTTACTGCATTTTTTTTTCTTGCTTTAAATGAGAATTCAAGTTTAAAAGATTCAACATTTTGGATGCCCCACTTAATTTCATTCTTCAGCTTCTAATATCCTGATTCTGTAAAAGAGCCCTGCGGAACCTTTGGCTGTTCAGCCATGCAGTTAAGCACAAGCTTCAATGGGACTTCGAATTAAGCACAGTGTGTTCCTGGATATAGCCAGCTATGTATACTGAAGTATGCTAAGAACAAAATTGCCAGATGTCCCTTAGAACATAATGGACATGTTTTTAATGCAGCACACTGAAGCATAATGTTCATGTTCATTTCTAACAAAGGGTGAAAGCTTATGGACATTTTTAAAAATAATAGTACAAATGTCCCAAACAATATGGAAAGCTCTTCCTCAAACTTAAGGAAGATGTTCAGCTCACTGCTTCACCAAAACCTTCAGAAAATAGCCACACAGGTAGATGCACTATTGTAGAATGCTTCCAAGTAGTGAAAATAAAGTAAGAGACTATTAGCTATCTTTTCCGTGCTTGGTTCCTTCGAAGGTGAATTTTCTTAACAGCTTTCTTTGGAGGGAACCCTCCCAGAGTGATACACTGGCAGGACCGTTACTCCAAAAAACAACTTGGAAGTTGTTATGTACTGAGTTGAATAGGATCCAAACTGCAGCAGTCTGATTGGTCCGCAGCAGCCACCCAATCCAACTCCAGGTGGAAATGAATCCGCAACCTGATTGGCCTACAGGAGAATCCCAGAATTAGCCAATCACGTGGGCCCATTGTGTAAATAAGGTATATAAAGTAGACATTTTGGGGGAACTTCCATTCCTCACGACTATGAGCTGAATAAAGAGCATGAAATCCACACTTGACTCCGAGTATATTTCAGAAGAATACACTGATTAGACTTGGGCCCATCATCTCTTGTTGTTGATACTATACCACATTCCAACCAATGCTATCAGCAGCATATGCACAGTTCCAGCAGAGTCTCCCAGCATAACATCAGAGATTCCTGCTTTACAGCAGTTAGTTTCCCTCCCGGAAAACTCTTTTCCCATACAGTTCAGTGTCTCATGGCACAAGAGAGGCATTAGCACCCTAGCAACAATAACTTTAAGATATGTTGGTGTACCATTAACTCATCTGCTATAATACTGTTCTTCTAGTCTTGGAAGTAAACCTTGTAAAGATTTACAGAAGGATGGGAGCGCTGTGGTCAAAACCACTGAGCCTCTTGGGCTTGCCGATCAGAAGATTGGTGGTTTGAATCCCTGCGATGGGGTGATCTCCCATTGCTCTGTCCTAGCTCCTGCCAACCTAGCAGTTCGAAAGCACACCCGTGCAAGTAGATAAATAGGTACCGCTGTGGCAGGAAGGTAAACGGCATTTCCGTGTGCTCTGGTTTCCATCACGGTGTTCCATTGCACCAGAAGTGGTTTAGTCATGCTGGCCACATGACCTGGAAAGCTGTCTGTGAACAAGCACTGGCTCCCTCGGCCTGAAAGCAAGATGAGCGCCGCAACCCCATAGTCGCCTTTGACTGGACTTAAATGTCCAGGGGTCCTTTACCTTTTTCCAGTGAGAGCTATTAGCACCTTACCATGCTAGCTCACCATGCTGTACAGCATATAACCTTCGGCTTCTCTGCTAATCCCTTGCATTGAGCAAAAGCCTCTTCTCAGTGAATACCTCCCACTCCCACCAATGCTGCTGAATGCAGCCTTGGCTTTATACCCGTGTCTGCACATGCACACATTCCTTACAGAAAGGGAGCATGGAGGAGTCATGCTACAGGCATTTGGTCTTGAACTGTTTCTAAGTCGCCAAGTGCAGCTGGTGTGCTAACTCTACACAGAATCCAGACATGGGGGAATGGGCTGCTCAAGACACGGACCAAACACTTAGTGCATTTCCCTCATTGCACTAATTCCA